CCCCCGCTGGCGCAGAACGCCCAGTCGAAACCGCCTCTCCGCAGGGCAAGGGCGTACCTTCGAGCCGCACACCAGGGCCGAGCCACCCACCGTCTGGCACCTGTAGGGGAGGGGGGCGGAGGGCACGGGAACCGGAGAGAGAAGCATGCCCCAACGCCCAGGCGATCGAAAGTGATTCCCAAAAGTCGGGGGCGAGCTCGTCGCTACCCCACCGCGCGGCGGGCCCCCATGTCCACAGTCGCCCGACGCAGCCTCGCGACCTGGAGTTGCCACGCGCCGGGGGCGATAAGAGCCGAACGCAGGAGGGGGGCAGAACAGAGGGACATGGCACATTTTAGCTGTGGACCACCTCATCCCGACGACTGCAGCCACTCCACATGGCCCACGCTACTGCCCGGAGCACACCAGAGCCGCGCGAACAGATGCCTCTCGGAAACTGCGAGCCGCCTCGGGGGAGGGACGAGCTGGGCCCTGCATCCCAAAAGAGGGAGCCCACGCTCAAGGTAGCGGGAGACATTCAGAATAGGCTGCCCCACCCGCGCCAATGAGGGCCACTCGCTCTCTGAGCTTGGCCACGGGAGGTCCCCGCTGCTCAAGCAGGGCGCTGCCGGGCCCCAGGCGGACTCCAAGGTACGGGAGACCGCCTACTATCTGAAACTCGCCCCAAGCCGACTCAGCTCTAGAGAGGGCCCCCCGAACAGCCTCCGAAGCACAGGGATCTGAAAACGGAGCTCCGAGGGGAATGGCCGTGCGCATAGATACCTTCAACATTAAATCTGCTAGCTTCGATGCAAGACGGAAGACCCGAGCATGCACCGCGCACCCCCTCCACCGCCAGATCACAGCCCCCCCCCCCCATCGCCCGCGCAAGCTCGGGTGCGCCCACGTCGCTTGCAACCGATATTATGAGACAAATCGTCGAGAAAAATTCGAGGCCTGGGGCATCCCTGGAGGACTCCTGGAAACATCCAGTAGATCATGCACAGAGCATGGTCAACCTCGCTGCAACAAGGGTTGGCAGCCTATAGCACTTCGATTGCACGGACGAAGCCACGCGGAAGCCTGCACGCACGCACACACATCAGCATCCATTCCTGCCGCACCGACGGGAACGCCTGAGCGCAGTCAAAAGACAAGAGGGCGGGAGGGACGGGTGGCCTAGAGACGACAGCATTGAGACTGGCTAGACGAGCTGAGCTATCGAGGCCAATTATGTCGTCGACAAAACTACGGCCAGCTATGATGCCCCTTTGATTAGCGGCCCCAAGCTTCTGCGCAGCAGGAGCGACCGCGCGCTCGACGATGGCGCCGAGGACGTTGTTCGCCGCGTTCTTAAGGCCGAGCGGGCGAGCGTCGCGAGCAGCTCGCCCTTCGAGGGGCCCCAGTTCCCCAGCGATCGGCTCGGGGAGACAGACAGCGAGGGGGGCAGAGGAGGAGAGGGGCACGGGTAGGCCCTGTAGCGCCCAGCACAAAACATCATACAAGATTCCGACCCCTCGCCCACATCGCCCGGCCCTGAAGTGGAGCCCATCGGGGCCGGGAGCGCTGTTCGGCGCCCTCCGAACAAACTGTCCGAGGGATCTCCGGGGCGCGGGCGGCAGCGACGAGAAGTTCCGATCCACCCCGCGGCGCCGACGCCCCAGGTAACGACCCCCCCCCGCAAGACAGGACAGTGCTGGACTTCCCGAAAATCGGACGCCAGTACTTGCCCAGAGCCTCGACTGGCTCGGCTTGCCCCGCGCGGACAAAGAGTCGCGCGGACCATCGGCCGCGCTGCCACCCCAGCCCCCACTCGGCGGCCCTGCAACCAAAGCGAAAAACTTTCGGCAAGCGAAAGGATTCCACAGCTGAGCGCGTCGACCGGCCGCCTGCTTCCCACCGAGCACCCGACGGCCCGACGCCCATGACAATTCACTCCCCCCGCGGCCCCCCCCCCCGCGCTGCTCGCGCCTTTTCGCGCCCCCCCCCCCCCCCCCAGCTGGAGGCGCGCGCGTAGATTATTCGATTTAGCGGGGCCAAGGAGGGCAACGACGCCGCATTCAGAGACATCGATTAATTCGCGGGTCCACAAGTGCTCAATACGGATGGCACGAGCGGGACGGGCATCCTGACGGGCAACATCGCGGGCGAGAGACCGACGGGCCATCGCTCGAGATGTGAGCCGACGGGCTGCATCTGAAGCTGAAGGTCTCTAACGGCGATGCCTGCTTGCCGACGGCGCAAGACTGCCATTTCGAGCTGCTCAGGGGGGCAAAAAGTTCAAAATTGACCTGCGCCCCAAATGCTTGGACCGCATCAGGGTAGAGGGGGTCGGTGCACAAGTGGAGCGGGAGAGAACGGGGGCGATGATCCGATCCAGCTGGCGCAAGGCGCTCGGCAGGCGCGATGCTCACCGGTGCGCGGTCACAAATACCTGCCCTGTACAACTAACTCCCCAGGTCCCCCGCAAACGCGCAAGGATTGGAACCCTCGGCGCAACGGCCACGGAGGCGGGGCAACGAAGCAGCAGTCTACCTTCGCGCAGGAGCTCGCGCCCTGATGCCAGCACGCGGGGAGATCGCCAGCCAGCTCCGTGAGCAACCTAAAGGTGGAGCGCCACGCTCCATCCCCGGGGCGCCCACCTCTCGCCTCGACCCTGGAAGTCCTAGACTCGCGATCGCCGTCGCAAATATTGAAATTCCCCTGCAGCGCGAAGCCAAAGTCGAGAGGCGCGCCCCGCACCACCTCGACCTTTGACTTGATGCGGCCGCGAGCCCGTCGGATCTCGTCAAGGCTCAGATCCATCGGAAGCCCGAGGGGCTGTTCAAAATTTCCAATGCCGGAACCCCCCCGCAGACACCCGATCGAGATGCCCAGGGCCCTCGAGAAGGGCTGAATGAGAGGAGGGACCAGCGCAGCTACACCGCCCGCCAGCGAGCCCTCCGCATAAGGCGCAAAAGCGCGGCGCGGCAACCCCGCACGCTGGGCAGCCTCCTGAACGGCAGGGGCCCCACCGTGAGTCTCCTGAAGGGCCAGAACATCAAAGGAAGAGGGGGAGGAGGAGGATGAGGAGGAGGAGGAGGAGGAGGAGGAGGAGGAGGAGAAGGAGGAGGAGGAGGAGGAGGAGGAGGAGGAGAAGGTGGGCGAGGCCGCGAGATCGCTCAGCACCCTGAGGCGCCGAGCACACGCATCAGGACGGCGGCGGCAGAGAGCGCGACAGTTCCACGTCGTACATGTCGCCGAAGACGATCCGAATATAGCGTTACCCACTCCACTGAATCTGCACCCTGGCGAAGGCGCGGTCAGCCACAGAGGCCAACTACGCGCGCTCCAGGCCGAGGTCCGCCAGCGACGCCACGTTCGAGCGGACCCTCGGCGGGTCACTCGGGCGCACCTCCACCTCCGCGATGGGCTGCCACTGCATGAGAAGCGCCCCCGCCCCCCTGCCCAACGTCCTTCTGCAATGGGTTCGAAGAGCGAGGTCTTGAGCTGCTTGCATGCTCGCTCCCTGGCAATGTCCTGCTTGGTTGTGTCGAGGCCCACGTTTATCTCCACCACACGGCCGCCAGGGATGACCGTCCGAAACCTCTTCCAGCTGCCAGGACCCTCGCGAAGGCAGGAATGCGCATGGCGCACGCGCGCTTCCGCAGCGAGGCGTGTCTCGCCCTCGCCGATGCCGAGGCGCAGCACGATGTTCCTGGATAGCTGGGGGCCGTCGATCCTGCACTCGCGCCCCAGCTGGTAGCCGCAAGCCTCGAGCCACGGCTGCAGCGCGTCCACCAGACCGCTGACTGGGATGGCCCCCTTTCGGGCTGATGGCGGAGATGGAATGGTCTTTGGGCCGATCCCAGTCAGCCGACCTGGCCACAGGAACCCGCGGTTCCGCACGCGCCAAGTCGAAGACCTTCTCCAATCGCTCCATCCTCTTGACCAGGTCATCCTGGTTGCTCTCCAATGTGGCCACCTTCTCATCAGTAGCAGACATCTGTGCCACGAACGCCTGAAATCTGGACGCCATCCACTTCTCGATGTCGTTGAGCAGGGGCTCGGCACTGCTAGCAATTGATCGCGGAAAGGGCTGCTTCAATAGATGCCACCACACCTTTAGCCCGCCCGCCAACGCACGACTCGTTAAACTTGCTGAACTCCTCAGCCTGGATCTCACGCACGATCTGGACGATGGCAGGTCGCAGCCAGGGGTCCGCCACATCTCCATCGCCGTTGACGGCACCATTTCCTCCTCCTCCTCCTCCTCCTCCTCCTCCATCCTCCTCCTCCTCCTCCCTCCTCCTCCTCCTCCTCTCCTCCCTCCTCCTCCTCCTCCTCCTCCTCCTCCTCCTCCTCCTCCTCCTCCTCCTCCTCCTCCTCCTCCTCCACGGGAGGGGCAGGCAGCGGCGGGGACTGGCCGATCGCCAACGCAGCGTCGGGCGCAGGGCCGCCGCCGACCTCGTCACCAGGGAAAGCGGCAGCGAGGTCCAGCTGCCCGAGGATGCTGTCGTCGATGCTGCTGCCCGCGGAGGCCTGCCCCTCACCAGCCACTGCGACGCCAAGACTCGCCGTGACGAGGACGAGCAGCAGCTCCACGGCGAGAGGAAGGGGGAGGCGACCTCGGCGGGGCACGGGGGGCCGAGTCCGCAGAGGAGTCGGTGTCGTCTCTCTCTTCGTAGACCTCCTCGGGGTGGAGAGCACATCCTTGCCATCAATATTGGCCTTTTTCTCTCCTTCTTGCGGTCTGGCGTCCGCCTTGACAGATGAAGGAACTGGAAACTCCGCAGTTTGCCCCCACACGACAAGACCATGGGAGGAGAGTCGCGACGCTCTGGCGCCACGATCCAGGCCTGGGCGAACAGGTCGGGAAACGAAAGCCAGCCGCGGTTTAGCGGTATCCGTGCTCTGCCACGGGCAAAAGACATCTGGAGCCAAAATGGCTACGGAGGAATAGGAGGAGGAGGAGTAGGAGGAGGAGGACGAGAAGGAGGAGGAGGAGGACGAGAAGGAGGAGGAGGTGGAGGAGGGGGCACCTTCGAGGGCGCGGCGAGGTAGATGTTCACGCTGTACTCTGGCGTGACGATCTTGCTCAGACCCCCCCGCTGCGGCACTGTGTCGATCATGTTCCCTCAGCCGCGGTAGCGTGGCCCCTCTCAAGCTGCTTGGGGGGCCACATAAGCAATCAGACGGACACATCAGAGGCAAAAGCATGTTCTGTCTGTTCCCTACCTAGGCTCTGCCTAGAAGGGTTCTCACTCGGTATGCTAAAAGGGCCGGGCAGTGCAACTCGCCCCGGGCGGTTCCCCCAGTATCCGCCCCGCGGTTCCCCCAGTGACGTTCCCTTAGCTTAGCGTTGCTTATCTCATCTTAGCTTAGCTTATGTCATCTTAGCTTAGCTTCATCTTGGCTCAACTTAGCTTCATATAGATGTTGTTTCCCTAGATCCTCCAACTCCTAAGTAGGGTCGCACTGGAATAATTTGGCAATGAAGGCTTTCATCCTCCGGGGGGCGTCTACTGGCAATCTCACCGATCGGGGTCTGGCCGATCCTGGGCCCAGCATCGGCGCCTGTGCCTCCCTGGCCAAGCCAGGAGGGCGCATACACCGTTCCTGAGCCCAGAATGGACCGGGCCCGCATCGGTGAGGTGGTCAGGTAACGTCTCCCGATCCCCTGGAAGGTCTGCTTGATTGTTATGGTGGCCTCCTGCTCGTTAAGAGGGGCACGGGCACCGCGGTTCCTACGTAGACTCGCTCTTTGGGCAGGTACTCCAGGATCTCAAACAAGATCGGCAGGTTCACAAACGAATCGTCATCAACCTGGGCAACGAAGTCGAACGTCATCGACTGAGCGGCCGCGCGCAGCGCGCGCACAATCTTCCGGATCTCTGGGTTGGTATCGCTCAGCAAATCTGCCATCATGCCTTCAGCACGTAATGGGCTCCTCCTGCTCCTCCTGGTCCTCCTCCTGGTCCTCCTCCTGGTCCTCCTGCTTCTCCTGCTCCTGCTCCTGTTCCTGCTCCTGCTCCTGCTCCCGCTCTTCCTCCTCCTCGTCCTCCTTCTCCTCCTCCTCGTCCTTCTCCTCCTCCTCCTCCTTCTCCTCCTCCTCCTCCTCCTCCACTCCTTTTCCTTATGAAGAACTTCTCCCTGTCGCACCCCGACGCCAATGTTAAGGGTGGGCCAAGCGTGTCGCCAAAGACTTCCGTACCATTTATGATTCTGAAGCTTGAAAAAGTGGCAACAATGTCACAGATGGAGGGTGGGTGGTTTTCAAAATGTGGCTCTCGCCTTGGCGCGGCGCACATTCGTTTTAAACATGTGCAAGAGTTCCACGGATTGAAAGCGGGTGGTTTTCAAAATGCGCCTCTCGCCTTAGCGCGGCGCACGTTCGTTGTAAAAACTGCAAGAACTTTACGGATTGAGGGCGGGCGGTTTTCAAAATGCATGTTCCGCCTTAGCGCGGCGCACATTCGTTTTAAACATTGGCAAAAGCTTCACGGATTGACGGCGGGTGGTTTTTGAAACGTAGCTCGCTGTAACGCGTCGCACACTCGTTTTAAAACATTGCAAGAGCTTCACGGGTTGAGGGCGGGTGGTCAAAATGTGGCTCTCGCTTTAACGCGTCGCACACTCATTGTAAAAAATGCAGAGCTGCACGGATTGAGGGCGGGTCGTTTTCAAAATGTGGGCGTCGCACATTCTTTGTGGAAATTGCAAGAGCTGCACGGATTGAGGGCGGGTCGTTTTCAAAATGTGGCTCCCGCCTTAGCGCGGCGCACATTCGTTTTAAACAGTTGCAGAAGCTTCACGGATTGAGGGCGGCTCCATTTTAAAATGCGGCGCTCGCATTAGCGCCGCGCATACTCGTTTTTTCCAACCATCCTGTGGTGCTGGGTCCTCGTTTTGAAGAGACGGTGCCCCGCGTCTCCTCTCCTTCCTTCCTTCCTCCTCCTCCGCCTCCTCCCTCCTCCCTCCTCCCACCCCTCACACGTTTCGTGGCCCCATAGGGAGCTCCACCGAAGGCCCCAGTGGCCGCGTCCACATGGCGGCGCCGCACCCATTTCGGCACACCCCTCACACGTTTCGTGGCCCCATAGGGAGCTCCACCGAAGGCCCCAGTGGCCGCGTCCACATGGCGGCGCCGCACCCATTTCGGCACACCCCTCACACGTTTCGTGGCCCCATAGGGAGCTCCACCGAAGGCCCAGTGGCTGCGTCCGCGCCCAGTGCACATGGCGGCGCCGCACCCATTTCGGCACACCCTCACACGTTTCGTGGCCCCATAGGGAGCTCCACCGAAGGCCCCAGTGGCCGCGTCCACATGGCGGCGCCGCACCCATTTCGGCACACCCCTCACACGTTTCGTGGCCCCATAGGGAGCTCCACCGAAGGCCCCAGTGGCTGCGTCCGCATGGCGGCGCCGCACCCATTTCGGCACACCCCTCACACGTTTCGTGGCCCCATAGGGAGCTCCACCGAAGGCCCCAGTGGCTGCGTCGCATGGCGGCGCCGCACCCATTTCGGCACACCCCTCAC